GTAAGAGTTTCCAGTGTCCCACAGGTGGTCAGTCTTTCCATCCATCGTATCGTATCATATCCATAACTCTCTAGATCTCAACAATCATTGGAGTATCTGGGCAAATCTGCCACATTTCATGCAAGACATCTGAAGACATGCCAAGTATCGGGGTGTTAGACCCATTTCAGACCCATCCGGTGAATGTGAGTCCGGGGCAATCATGAAGCACCCTGGAAGTGCTTGATCTTGATCCAGCTCAGCTCCTTTTGCCCACATGTCGTACGATCCTGCGTTCGTCTGTACTTCATTCGCCGAGCGACCAGGCTCCAGCCCTTGCTACAGCGTCGGGGCACGTCCTTCCGTGTGCCGCCCGCCTGGCCAGAGTTCCTCCATGTCGCTACTGGAGTGGTTGATTTCAGGGCAGGGCTAGACGGTGGGCATGGCATCTATAGTCACAAACGTCCCAAAACGTCCATGTCCAGGACGTTGGGATCGAAGGTCGGACCCCGGAGCCCTTGGTGGTCGGTCAGGGCGAATTCCGGAATCCCGGGGGTGGCATTGGAACGGTTCCAAACGCGGGAAGAACCTGGGTGTTGGGCGATGGTTCGGTTCAGATAGCCCTCGGTACCAAATCCTGGAAGGTCCAGAGTAGGTGCCAGAAATGTCCAAGTTTAGGTGAGTTGATGTGATTTGTATGATATCTTGGGGTGCCAGTGCCATCATCTACTCTGAATCCAGTGGGGTGTGCCAGATTCTCCGCCAACTAGGACAGCCAACTTCAAGTTCCTCTAACCACTGACATGGGTCTGAACCAATTGCAATCAATTAGGTCTCCCCCATATTACAAAGGCTTAAACCTGGAGCCCACAACTTTCCCATCAGCACTGATTTGGAGCTTCAGAGAACAATTCTTTGGGCAAGTCCTGCACCTCGCGACCCTTTCAGCCACCATGCGTCCGTTGAGACGTAGCGCCGCACGAAAAACGCCCGCGCGTCGCATCGCGTCGCATCGCGCCTGTTCCTCGCGCAAGGCGCTGGCTAAGGCGACCAGGGCCAGAGCTCCAAGCGCTGGGGCTCTCATGGAGTTCACGAACAACGCCGTCATCGAGGCTCTTTGGCGATCACACTGAGAGTCTCGCACGACAAAAGCTAAGCTTGAGCAAAATGGCCACCAGAAACACCATGGAGACTGGTGGAGGGTGCATCCGAGCGAAGGATCGAGGGTAAGCACGATAGGGTCGAAATCTAATTGCACAAAGAAGTGCATGCACAAAGAGTTTGTAAAGAACACTGAAGAACTGTGTCGTTGGTCCTGTGTCGTGTGAAAAGGACAGCTTTGCTTGCTCAAGAATAGAGGTAGCTGGACTGATGTTCCAAGAAAAAATGGGTTTCAGACGACAAAGCCACTTCTCCAGGCGTCAAACTTTGTGGATCGGGTCGGCCTGTAGCCATCCTCAGCAGCTATAGATATAGTTTTAGAGGATCCCCAAATGCCCTTCCGTATCCGCAAAGGAAGCACCAGATTTTCCAACATGGCAGTTCAACCACGTGGTTCTTCACACTCCTTCAAGGTCTTCCAACCCTTTGCCCGTGGAGTCAACTTCACAGCGACGCTGGAGCGCGTTTCGCGTTTAGAGGCGTCCCCCCTGTAAAGGACTCGGCAGGACACCGACGGCGCACATGGGAAAGATGCCCAGGAAGGCATAGCAAAGGACCTCACACCGATGTGTTTTCAACACCGGGCTCGGAGAGATGTGACCACCCAGGCTCAGGCGTTCACTCCAGTGCCACCTTGGAAAGTTACCCTCCCTCCCTGCAAAACACCGACCTTCTTATCGGACGTGGTGTGGGCTGAGCCCAAACGGGAAATTAGACTCCCTCCAACAAACATGGAAGTGGAGTTCACCACCAGCTGTTTGGTTTTCGGACTTCATGGTCATCCGTATAATAATCAGCGCCATGCCTTCCACTTAACCATGATTGTTCCCGGAAAGTGCAGGTGTTCATCTCTGGGCGGAAGACTTGGACAATAGAACCAAGTAGACGGGGTCCTGTATTTTCTCTGGTCCTGTGTCCCTTCAAAATCAATGATGACAAGCCCCAACAGGCTTTATAGGTCATTCTCCGACACCCACCACCGTGGCACGTTCTGTGCTGGACCTTGCTCCAGTTTTGGCTGTAGAGCCGCCTTTCGCGTGGTTTTTTTCTTCGAATGCAAGTTGCATCTTCCACGCGACCGATTCTGGGATGAAGGGTATACGTACATGTACACCCATCTCCCGGACTTTCTCCTCCCCGCAAATCGCCTCGTTGGGGAGTAGTTGAGCGAGCAAGGTCAACGGACGGAGCCCTGCGTCAGGTCAGGTCGACGCGGTGCATCGAAAAGCCAGGGATGTGACCATGTGGATCCATGCTATGCTTTTGTAGAGAGACCAACAGAGGTGAAGTGACCTGAACTAGGACCCGTAACCTGGGGTACCTATGGGATAATCGAACTAGGGTCATAAAAACCTCTGCTGGGACCCCCAACAAATGGGTGTTGGGTCTCTTTGGTCCTTCTTCCAGGACAGCGTTGCCTGGGAGGTCGAGACCTATTTTAATACACACCCAAATCTTCATGGAATCCATGCCCAAGATCTGGGGCTATGTTGAAACCACCACAATCCTCACCTCACAAAATGGTGAGTCAACAGCCATCAAAAGTCAAACATCTGAACCGTCAGCTGTTCGTGGATCCATCTGTGGACTCCACCTGGCCGGCCTAGATTGGGCACGACCAATGGATGACCGGGAGACCCCGGTAGGCGGTAAGTGGCCCACGCGCAATCCGGTCTTGGAGTCCGGAGCCACAGGGGCCCCGAGCCAAGGGTGGAGCAAAGGTGGTGACAAGGACCATGTCGGGGAGAAAAACCACACGGGGGTTGTCCAACAAAGCTCTTCTTTTCTGGCTTGTATCGCCATGTATCGCCGGCCTTTCGCGGTCCTTTCGCGTTTGCAGAAAAACACAGGGTTTCCTTTCGTGCATTGTGATGAGGTTATTCCGTTGCACTGAGTTCACAAATGTTCACAGCGTTTGGAACATCTAAGTACTTTTGGTGCGCTGAGAAGCAGGCCGCCCTTTGTCAACCCATACTTGAAGCAAATGCTTCAAGGCCATGGATGGGCAGATGCCCTTCCAGGCAATACGCCCTTTCGCGGGCCTATTGCCGGCCTTTCGCGGCCCTTTCGCGAAAATCCATGTTTCTGCTCGGGAAAAGGATGTGTCACATTTATATATATAGGCACATTAAATGTCCAGGTTGGCACATGTCTTTCGCCGACCTATCGCCGGCCTTTCGCGGACTGCAGTTTCCCTTTCGCAAAATGTTTGTTTTAACATGTCATCTAAATTCCTTTACTGGCAATAACGGACGGCCCTCACACACACAAACCATCCGCAACCCCCCCGCGGAATCCACCATGCGGCACCTGGGCCGTGCTGGTATGGCGCCTGGCTGGACGGGGCGCCACATACAGTGACTTCGTCAGAGCAGCACATTGGACATGCTGACACGGAAACGAGGAGAAACTGGACTTCGAGTCTGCTCCAACGACGCCTTGGACTCCGACATTCCCACACATGAGGTGAAGAATCGCGTCCAAAGAGTCCAAACACGTCCAAAGAGTTGGGTGAAAGGGAAAACAACCGCGTTGGCTTCACTCGAGTTGGACTGTGCCTTTTGCTTGCTTTCATCCAGTCATTTGGAGATGACATATTAGACTTTCAGACTCCTGATGCTCATGGTCTTTTCATTTGCAGTTCTCATCAGGTTTTAGTATGGTTTAGTAAGTGATAACGATGAGTGCGGGGTCTTTCTTCTAAGTCTTGGCCTTTTTTTGTTTCAATTTTTACGTATAATTTTAATGTTTGCACAACTTTTCATGCAATAGGCAATAGTCATTACTCACTAAAGCACTGATTCGTAATCCAATACCGCTTCAGCCTAACACCCCTTGTCCCCTCACTGATAAAATGGTTGAAGAACACATGTGTCGTGTCGTGGATCATAGATTACAGTCCCTGTCGGGATCCACTGCCACCGAACCTCAGGAGAAGGTACTTGTGGGCCCTCCAAGCCCTCCTACATAAATAGTCTCCAATGTCCAATCATCTGAGAAGGCACGACTGGATCCCTAGGGAGCAGGGTAACATATGAGGTGAAGTCCCATCCTACCACGAGCAACGGTTGGTCCTGCACTCCTGCACCACCAGGTGAATCCCCACGATGCCTTGCCACCCATCATGGGCACGGACAGCATGGCCCTTTAAAAGTTGGAGCGTTCCGAAAAAGATTCGAAAAACATGCACAAGCGACCATGTCTGCTACCTTGTCTGTGGCCATTTCGCCTTTGTGGCGAACAGTGCCTTGCAAGTTCTGCCCCATGTCCATGGTTTTAGTGCCGCTCTTCACTGTGCGGTCGACCTGCGCTTAGAATGTGCTTAAGAAGGGTCGTGCAGCCGAAGGCTTGATCCGCAGCTTCGCTTCTTAGGGGATCCCATTGGCTGTTTTTTCTTGCGGGTCCCAAAGACAAGTAGATCCGCTCCTTGAGCCGAGTGGAAGCAAGTTCTGCCAGACCTGAGTGTGGACCCACACTGCTCGTGTGGCCCTGGTGGAACTGTTGATATATGTAGACTGCTGGTCCACGGTTCCCGTGGTAGACCAACAGTGTTGGCTTCCCTGGTTCAAATCCTCTCAGACGACCTTGCCGGAGGTCAACCTACGGCTTTGAGTGCCATGATGAAACAGCCATTAACAGCCTACATGATGTGATACAGCTTTGTTTGTAGATGTCAAGACAAGCTTGGACCTCATTGCCCTAGACTGGATGAAACATGATGAAAAGCAAATGAACAAAAATCATTGGCTTCAGTGGGTGAATAGGTCACACAAGTCCAGATCACCATGGCATACTCCAATTATTTGCTCCCCCCTCCTCCCATTGTTCAAACACACAGAACACACTTCCCTTTCTCACTGAAGGCCTAAGCAACTCAGCAAAGGCCTAAGCAACTCAGCAAAGGCCTCAAGCAACTCGGGCCGAGGGCCGATTCCTTGAGACTGTTCAGCTGGTGGTGACCATCGGTTGAACTTCTGCGGAAGTGACATACCTATACACTCCATGTATGGAATATATGCCTACATTGACCCCCCCCCAAACCACCCTGGCCGTTTCTCGGCAGTCCTATGGCAGTCCCATGGGTCGCGAGTGGGATCAGGTGACCTTAAACCTTCTGGAAACACCAAACGCTCGGTGTGTCCTGGCCCCAACCCACCCAAGTCGAACCCGGTGAGTCGGAACAGGAACACTTCGGGCTGCTGTCGAGCAGCGAATGTGAGGACCGATGAAAATCTCAGGTGAGAAGAAGATCATGACGATTCATGACTCATTCACCATGGAGGAGCTGGGGAAGAATACCGAACTTGCACTCTTGGGATGATGTTGAAGACCCCTTCGTGTGGAGGGCTCCGCAAAGGCACCGAAAAACCTCCAGACAATGGCAGCCAATGTCACACCCCAAGCACGACCTGTCTGGGACAGGAATACTTGTTGACCTACGTATATTGACCCTCCAAACCAACCCACTTTATGGAAATAGTGAAGTCCCATGCAGTGCGTCGGAACAGATACAAGTCCGTAGAAGTGTCGCAAACGACTAGACTAGAGATTACAAGATCTCATGGATGCCTCTCTGGATCTATCTGTGGACCAAGTACTCTAGTCCTCGATTCAACTTCCAGCACAAGGTGACATGAAATGACACTACCTGTAACAAATTGTGAGCTTTGTGATTGCGCCAGTTAAGTTCAGTACAAACTAGAAGGATCGGCGGTCAACCAGGGTACAAAATAAGTTGGCAAGGGTATGAGCTGCCTTCTCTGTGCTCATCTGTGCCCCATACCCGGAAGGGTCTGATGAATGTCAGTCCTTGGGTCCCATCTTTTTCTTCTGCTCTCACAGTTCGTTCGTTCGGCGTGAGCCCCGTCCACCGGGTCGCTCCGATGTGCTCTCCGCAGCGAGACGCAGAACACACCGAGACGCAGCACCGATGGACGCTGCAGGTATGGCGAGCCCCGACTGGAGGTATGGGTGTGAATTCATGTTATGCCTTAGACTGATTTGCTTTCCTCCTTAGACTCCTCAGATTTTGTTCTACCTTCAAATGTTAAAAGAAGAATTCAAGGTGTTTTGGAGTGTTCATCCAAGATCCATCTTTACTTCTTGTTACTTGTTATACTTTCGTTGGATCTCACAAAATAAAGAGGGGTTCACCATCTCATTCAAAGAGAGCTCTAGCCGCTCTAGCCCCGGCGTCCCCAAATGAGACCTCCGAGGGAATGGGCCGATCCTTGTCACTCAAACAACGAGCTCAGCCTCCTGTGCCTCATGCGCTCGAGGATTCAGTGGCTGGGTCTGTGGAAAACGGTAGTTGCTGCATTAACAAAAATAAAACACTTCAACAAATATGCCCTCGAAGAAACGTGTTCAATGCTGTGAGGATACTTTACCATTCATTTCAAAGGGGAATCACAAGAATCTAAAAACTTAAATCCCAGCATATAATCCACATACACTTCTCCTTCCAGCTGTTTTCGTGTTCTCTTATCTTCTCTGAAAAACAAAAAATTACTTTACTTCGAGTGATCCCCACCATGACATTTCAATCATTTGTCTTGATGCCATAGTGAGGAGCATGTTGCCATAGTCGTTAGTATTGTAGTTCTCGATGTTGCTTGTGGGTCCTCGGGTTGTGTGCTGTGGTTGTGTGCTGTGTTTGTGGTTGTGTGTTTGTGGTTGTGTGTTTGTGGTTGTGTGT